TGTAGAGCCTTGTACTGCATTATTCATCATATTCAAAAAGTATGAGTATTTCGCTTTCAGCCCTGCAATCTACGGGCCTTTTGACGGAGCCTACCATGCCACAATTCATGCGTTTGAGTAGTTAATCTGGTAACAGAAAGATTAGCAGTTGGTAGATCTTATCTGATGTTAAGCACACGGAATAATGTTTGCCAAAAAAGTTGCGCTCTAGCGTGGATCGTGATCGATAAAGATTACCTAGCCTGACGTCTCTCCGTGAGTAAAAAATTGCCGAGTCGGACCTTGAGGGTCGCTATGACCGCTCAAATCAGAAAACACATGTGCTGACTTACCGAGTCATGAATCACAGATCAAGGTTGCACCTTGCCCAGTGACACTTGCCATGCTAGAGACGATTCCTGGTATAGAAGGGTATAGAGTAGAAGCAATCTCGGAGCAAAAATAGCTCATGGGAATTTTTCTTTTGCTTGATTTGTGATCCAAGTAAAATATCCATCTCGAAGGAGATAATATGACGGGCCTACGACCATATTCTCTTGTCACTGATCTACAAGAGATAACATGTGATTTGCGCAGAGCAAATCTTGATACTACAAGTAAGCCATAAAAATCGAAGATTGGGTTTATACTCTCAACTCACAAGCAGAGCTCATGAGAGAGGCTCTAAAAGCCCTATAGGAAGTTAGTTCGAATTGGCCTTTTGTTAAATTTTATAATGACATATTTCAATCTAAATTGATCAAGACTCATTCCAGATACTTTTCTATATTCAATGAGAACACTATCTGTATTGCACAACGTGGGTCTTAAAGTCCGCATGTTTAACGGAATTTTCACTCACAGAATCTCATCGTCCTCAGTAAATCACTACTTAGTGTTTGTGCCTACTGACTTGATGGTTCTCCGTGCTGGGTACGCTGTTCGCTCTTTGATGAGATTCAGATCCCTCGTACCTCTCAGCCGAAAGTGAAGGTGACACACAAGGCGCAAACGCATTGTACTACGTAATAGAAAGTCAGATCTTTAGCGAGCCCATTGTCTCTAGCGCGCTCGTAGAGCTTCCGCAACCAGTCCACCGGCCTCATGGCACGGAAGTGTACTCTGGTTACTGCAACACTAGCCACTCCTTCAAAGTACGTTGAATAGACGCTGGAGGTCTCAGTGCGAGCAGCACCCATTTGAGGATACCTCATGAAGTTGATTACTCTTATGGCTCTGGAAGTGGGTCTGATACAACTGCGGTGACAAGAGCTCTAAATCTTTTGACATAACATACTCGATAGTTTTAACCTTTACAAGAACTACACAGCCTCATTAGGTGGTGTAAACACCCGCGACATCTGTCACTCCCAGTCTTTCCATATTGAAATTGCTTTTTCCAAAAAGGTTTTCACGTTGGGAACATTCGCGTGTGTGGCGTTATAGTCTGGAGATCACGAGCGTGACGCTTTGTTAATCTGTCTCGGATATGGCCGAATGTAAGGCAAATATAACTCCCGTCATGTAGAGGGAGAAATTATCCTGCTCTCAAATGCTAAACTTTTAACATCAGCGGCCTCTTGGAGGAAGTTGGTTGTGCTCTCTCTGTTGACTATCCAGGACGCTTATAGCGATGTCTCACCGGCGCGTACATATAAATGAAGAAAGCTTTCAGGTGTTATATTGCCGCTTTCCGCCCTTGGGCCTTAAAACATGGCATCGTCGTGCGACTAACTATCGACATTAGCATATCGAGCGTGTCGTCTGTCCAAAAGACACATAGTCGAACTAATAATGTTCTTTCATTGCAAAATATTAAGTCTCCTTACAATCCAATCGATGGACCGACTATTTGTGCTACCAAGTACAACGGGTATGCCATGCATCGTGCACAAAAAAATCTTCTGAACAATCATTCCGGGTATACGAAGCTCAGCGATTGAGCTCGTGCGCCCCACCCAAGAGTAAACCCAAGAGCCACTAAAGTAATGTTTTTACTATACACATGGTTGGTATTTGATCCGATATATCAATTTCCAATGATATTCCATATTACTTTACTTAAGGGTCACATCTCAGAGGCCTCGCTATTATAGAGTTCCATCGTTTCGACAGATACCGATAATCTTGTGAACTTGACCCTTATAGATCGAGTGCAATTGAATTGATTACGAAATGATTCAATTGTTCAGAATTCGCATGATGCTTGGTGAAATTGTGAATATATATGAGACAAAAGATACCGGTAGCCATGATTCTACCGAAATTTTAAATAGGAGGAGCTTGGGGGGCACATGGGCTTCTAGCCGCACATTTTACCTTAGAATAGCTCTTTTACGGAGAAAAAGAGTATAAGTGTATACATATCATTAGCCTGGAGAAAATTATCTTCATGTATGAGCTATTTAAACAGATTACACAAAGCAAGTTAACGGTGTTTGTTATCGTATAGGCTGTTGTTTTTTGCTTCTGGTTGAAGGCACACGAATCCATCATTGTGCGTTCGCGAACGTAGACTTTAGGAGTCCAACTTCCTCGGTGCAAACTGCACGATTTTTAAGACAAATTGTTATAAAGCTTTTTGTCTATCGTGGGTCCCAATGCGATAAAAAAAACTGGCGGTCAAATGTCTGGAAGCAGTAGTCGCTCGCTTCAAAGCGCTCATCAAATCTTAGAATGTACTAGTTGGCCGCACCAGTAGCCCCTGGTTTGGGCGAAAATGGAGATAAGATGGGTAACATAGTGAGACGGACGTTGAACGGTCAAGCATTTGATGGCTATGCCCGAGAAAATGTTTCCTTTGGATAATAAAAGTTGAGATAAATATGGATTTAGCCTTACTTTCCGCTGCGCGTCGCTCTTGCGATCTTTACGCTTGGTGGTCGCGCGCAGAAATGGGCACTTGCGTGGAATACCTCGGTTGAGAAGACGTTCTCAATGTGGGGGTATCTAACGACAAATTTTGCGGGTGGTCGTACCGACTTAAGAAGCGTAACTTGTCCGTTTTTAGATCTTGCTCACCCATTAAAAGGGATGTGAGCTTACAGACTAAGCTCGGGGGCGAAAAACTTCAATCAGCGCCATGGATACTGACCCTCTTCTAAAGGCTGAAATGGTTGCCATCTTCATTAACATTATCCAGACGGTGCAGCTCGCATCAACACCCGGTGCATCAACTTTAACACTTTCGCGGAATAGGTGTTTGTTGAGTTTGATGCGAATTACAGCTTCCGTGTCGCGAGGGCCGGCTGCAGCGCTAAAAAAGGAAGCTCTATGTGCGCACCTATGATGATTGATCTCAGGCATGCTATGGAAAAAGAGAGAGATATCGTAACTGCTAAGTCGCTCCGTGATAACCGCAGATATTCCATCTACAGAAAAAACTTGCGTCTGCTCCTTGCGCGTCCCCTTCAGTCTCGGCTGAGAGGTACGAACTGCCGGGCTTTCACGCAAGAGCGCAGGACAACCCCATCACGTGAAAGCACCAAGTTCAAGTAGGCGCATAGGCGGTCTACGAGAAAGAATCGGGCTTTCGAAATTCATGGAGGATGGGAGCATTTCGTATCAGCTCTCAAAACAGCGACTCACTCTGAGAGTTGAGGTTTGCATTTTAGTGTTATTGGCTGCCGCTATCAATGTCTTGAATTTTTGAAGACGCGAAAAAACCGTCGAGGCATCGATGATGCCACATACGGATGTGATAGCCATGATTTTTGTGACGAACAACTTCCAACAGTCTCGAGCGTTAGATTGAGTTTTCAAGGGAAGTGTGTTGCGTACTACTGAGTATTGACGTGAGATGCTATCTCATTCTAGGCAAGTTGTGGCTAGAGCTTAATGAGCCATGGGCTAACCAAGAGAAAAAAAGCTAGGTTCCATGCACTTTTCTCCAGGTGAAGCTCTGGCGAGCCTTGAATCAATTTATGCAAGAGAATCGAAGAACTTTTTTCTTTGCTTTTACGACGAAACTGCCATAGCTTTTGCGCTGGATATGGATAGCAATGAAATTTGCAGGCGCCCCGAGCAGTAGAGCTGTAGTAAGCTAAGGTCTCAGGGCGAAACATATCCTGGTCTCTAAAAATTTTGTTTGTCGGCTCGGAAACAACGACGCATGTCAAACTTCTGTGAGAGCATATCAAATGGTATGACAAGGAAAAAATGTACCATGTTATCTTCTAAACCAGGGCTGGTAGTGAGTGGAAGCAGATGGGTGTTGCATTCTTTTGTGATAGAGCCTGTTGAGCGAAAGAGCGACCGTATGTCACAAGCTAAGGGCCCGGTGCTGAAGATAAAAATAATAATTCAGCCATATCACAACTTGTAGGTTCTGAAAAGTCAACAGCAGGCTCTCCATTGAGATCAGTGAAGCCTCATGGACAGATTTCAGGGTTAGTTTCACACTCGTATATGGAGTGAGCAGGGTAGTCCTAGCGATTGCAAAGCTCCTCTTCCTATTTCCGGAAAAGTTTCGAGAGATCTGTGATAGTTATCCTTTGGAATCGAGGGGAAAAACGGTGATGTCAGCTATATGCAGGCCTCTCTATATACGGAATATTCCTTATATTC